GAGAGAGAGAGAGAGAGAGAGAGAGAGAGAGAGAGAGAGAGAGATGAATTGCAATTCTTAGAAAGTATATCCAATTAGAAAATTGTGTTATTGTTGCCATTGAACCTGTGCTGGGACTGCTATACTTGACATCTTTACTGAAACAAAACAACTAAAACTGCAAACATTAAACCTACTGTGCTATTAACAACGTTAGTGGACACTTGTTAAGTCAATCAGTGTTCAAGTACTTGTAAATAGAACAAATTATTATTAATAACTTTTGTGTACTTATAACGTTCACCTAAAAAAATACTGTAGCATAATTCTGTGTTTCACGATTACTTTTTCCCCCCTGCTTTATTTCATTCCTTCCTTTTCTTTAAAAGAAAAAAAGAAAAGAAAATGTTTGTTTTGGTGATGGTGTTTCGTGTTAATAATCTGTCTGACGCACCATGTTCCAAGGAACTCAAAACACTTGTGTTAAAAACAGAGCAAAAGGGGTAGGCGGGCATTTTTATTTCACTTTTTTTCTAATTAGAAAAGAAAATCCTATTTGCCAGTTCTAAACTATAAATACACTTGAAACAAGGGCTTGGAAATTTTAGCCGCAATTATTTTTCTTAATATTCTGATTTGAAAACCAAGAGGTGAAACAGGGGTTATCAACTGCGATAGCAGCTGGATGGGTGGCTTTAACTATAAAGTTGCAGGGTTTTGGCTGCACACTCACACTAAAGTATAATGTTGATCAAAATTAGTGGAGGGGAATTTGCTATGGACACAGCCTGCTAAGATGCTTGGCTGCATGAGTCCCAACGAAATGAGGGAGAGGTACTCAAGGACCCATTCATCTCAATGGAGCTTGGGCAGTCAAACTTCCCGGGTAGTTGTGCCATGCAGTCTCTGGCAGTTGCTTTCTTTATAATTGGGTGAAATGTGTCTATACTTCAGACAGTTCCTATTGCTGAAATGGCACCAATTGTGTTGATCATCATCTGCCTTGATGTTGTAGTAACACAAGTGTTTTTAGATCATAGCCACAAAATATTTAATGTGTTGTGCCTTCATAATGTAACCAAGCATTCTCCTGGTAGGGTAGTTGGGGGAAATGAAAGAGTTCAGTCTCTAATTCTTGCTGTTTAACTGTTTGTTCTCATGGTTGGTCAATGCCTGGCAGATACCAGTTTCATGTCACTTGAAAAGGAACCAACAAAGTGACTCTAATGTAGTAAGATCTCCGTTGCACGTCTAACAAATCCTAATCAACATTCTTAGGCTTTTTGTTTTCTTAAGGCATGACAGAAAATTTAAACAAATAGCATGCAACTTAGGGGAGAAAAAGTCCTTAAAGGGAAAAAAAATAGTAAAAAATTATCTTGTGCCACAGTTAAACATTAGTCTTAAAATAAACTCAGAAATAAAGGTTGCAAATATCAGTGGTTAATTTCTTTTTACCAACAACAGCAATGATAAAAAAAAAAAATTAAAAGTAACTGAAGTTGTGTTGTATATAGCAGTTCTCATTTTCTTTCCTCCACAGTATAAAAGCATATAATGGGCTAGGGGTGCATTGCTTATTACGGTACTTACGTCCGTTTGTGAGGGGTGTTTGATGACTTTGACCGAATAAATATCTAAACAGTTTTCCTTGTTACTGCTTTGCCAGTTCAACGTTATTTACAGTTATTCAGCTCTTGCAATAAATGTTCTGAATTCCTGATTGTCTTGTGGGAGTTTTTAGCCTAATGCCTTATTAACTCATTGCTGGGGGGAAAATAAAAGCAAACAAACAAACAAATGAAAAGGTAATAATCCCGCTATTGCCAACCGTGTCTGCCCTCCCTCCCCCCGCAAAAAAATCACTGTGGCACAGCCAGTAGAAATTGGCAATGTCTGAGAATGTGGAAGGTTGAGGGAAAAGGTTAGGATAATGGATAGCCCTCTGAGCGAGAGCAATATTTGAAAGCAGAATGAAAAGCCAGTGATCAAACAAGGGCTGAGCCTTAATCCACCTCTGACAGTGTACAGTGGGCCACAAAGGGAAAGTAATGGATTTACAGAGATACTTTTTCAGGCCAATCACTTCCTATTTCTTTGTCTTTCTCATGATAGGCATAGATGTTCCAGGCAACCTACAGTATGAGTGCTACGAATGGTGGTATCCCAGTCTTCAATTTTACAATTTCTCTTCCTAAGTTATTACAATTAGGCCTTCCCCTTACCTAGATACAAAGCATGTGGTTATCCAAAAATAGAATGAAGCAGTCACAATTATCCAAACAAGAATTTGATTAAAATTTAGCACTCAATGTTAGGGAGCAACTGCTACTAAAAAGCCGAGTCGAGTTTTCAGTTCACTTCCAAGCAAAACCTTCCCAGCCAAAGATAATGGAGATGATGGTTAACCATTCCAAGAAGACTATGTTGATGCAGACACCAAGGGTTGTGCTCGACTTGAGGATGTCTTTATTTAAACAAGTGAATTTTTATGGCCAATTTGAAGGAAGAGACATGTTCACTTGAATGAGAGGATTTCTTAAAGTCCTGGCAATCTTTTTTCTTCTTCCCCGCATCACATAGGGCCTGAATGAATAGCAGAATGATGCTGGGCTCATGTGTACTCTGAAACTTCTAAAAAAGTTTTGAAGTGTGAACCGCCCTAAAAACTATTATGTAAAATACTTTTATTTCCTACATGATTCCTGTATTTGTTCGCTTATGCAAAAAAATTAGAAATAGGCTACAGATACTTAGTGGACCAAATAAAACACAGACAGGTTTTAGAATCTGAAGATATTGTCTTCATCACTGCTATTATTACTCAGATGACAACATTAATGATCATTAGCAATGGCTAATATCTCGTGAATAAATATGACTTTGAGAAGGGATTTCAAGGAGAGGTACTACAGAAAGGAAGTTTAGAAGAGAGAGCTGTTTTTGCCTGTGGCATGGTTTACATGGTAAAAAGTTTATTGGGGGGTTTTCCTAATTCCAGTTGCCATAATAAACACATACTCTGTCATAAGAAAAGAAGCACTGTTCCTCTGTATAAAGAAGCAAAAGAATAGGAAAGAGAACTATGGTCTAGCTTTCTTCCCTACAAGCTAGCTTTCTATGTACTGTCACAGTTTGCAGAGACAATACTGTATGCTACCTCATTCAAGAGTCTAATGAGACCGAGAAGAATTTTATTATGTGTTCCCTTCTCGAGTACCGTGAGTATCTCCGTTGTGTTCCTTTTAGTACACATGTCACTCAAGGGAACCAGGAAGAGTAGTGTTTCACACCACTCAAGGCAGGATGCTGATTTAAGGAGGAAAGAGGCTATTTTCTTCTTGAAAAGGAATCATTAACTTTCTTTGAAAAGTTGTTTGTGTTTACTCTTAAACCTTGCACATCTTACAGTCGTGTTGGCAAGTATCTGTGTTCATTAAGGAAAAGCATTTGGAGATCAGCTGTAATTGGGGAGTGAGCCAAGAACCAGATCTAAATCCAATTAAAGGCATCCAGAGCTTTCCATGGACTTCAATAGAGTCTGCTCTTGGCTTTGCTTTATGCCCAGAGATCACCCTTTTGCTTCTATCCAATGAGTTGACACAATTCCTCTGACACCCAGACACTTCTGGGCAAACCCCATATATCTCTCAATAAGCCTTTCGTTTCCTCCCTGACAGGAATTCAACCATGTGGAAAGGAAGGACACTTTTCCTCCTTTTGCAAAGCACAGACATGCAGATCAGCCCAAGGGACTTTTCAAAGGCATCAAATCACATGAACCAGAGCCAGGCATTAAGGGGTGATTAACAGTGAAGCCTGCTTGGAGCTACGATTCCTGTCCTTTTCAGAAGCCTTGCCTCTGCAGGAAAACACTGGAGCTTTCCCCTCCTGCTCTTCCTCCCTCTTCCAGTCACAGCTTACAGATGCTTGCAAGCTCTCAGGAGCATGTCAACGATAATAGGAGGCCTTTGGGACTGGGTCTTCTGAAAAATATAATAGAAAAATAAGTAAAAGCAATATTAAAAATATAAAGGAAAGGTTCCCCAAGCCCGCCCATTTCATTTTGTTGACTCTGGAAGTATTTTGTGAACACTCAAAGATTCAACGTGATCTTTGTGGTGCAAGCAGGCAGGAAATAAATTTCCATCCCAGAAAAGTCATGCTATGAAAAGAAATAATTTGCAGAGGTGTGTGTTAATTAAAGCTATGAAATGTCCACATAGGTACACATTGCAGACCCATTGAAGCACATCCTCATAGTGTGCTGTAATGGAATAAAGGCAGTTGCTTGAACACTGTAGTCACCAATATTCTGAATTAAAATTTATGGGATTTTCACCCCTATGTACAGCTTGTTACCTTTCCTGATTTATTTTGGTTTCTGTATGTCTTTGTGCTTGTCCTTACTATTCAACTGTAAGCTACTGTGAAGTTCTTCTGGAGGGGCATCTAGTTTTCAATAAACAAGCAAGCTTGGGTCTTTTTCATCAGAACATCATCTTCCCATCTTGCAGAAGGATAAACTGATAGAAAGACGCCATTCAATTAGTTGTATCTAGTTACGGATCCTGTATATATTTGGAAGTCTGTGGTGCAGAAAACGGTTTCCATTCAGGTTGTAGATGTGTGTGAAAAAGAAATTCATGGTTTGTTTTCCAGTACAGTGAACAACCACAGGATTTGTGGCATGGTGAAGGTAAGGCTCCTTGGACTACACAGGAGGCATGCGTGCCAAGCTTCTCCCAGGGGACATCAAGCACCTTAGGATTGCCCTATTTCTTCAGAGGAC